CCAAAATTCTCTTCTCTGATGAGTATAATGTAAAATATTACACGATTTAAAAAAATAAAAAAGTTTTAATAAATAAAAAAAATCATTTTTGCTAAAAGGTAGCGAAACCAATTATTATAAAAACTTTTTATTATTTGCTATTATATTATAATAAATATTAAACAGGAAAATAAAAAAAGTTTATTGCGATATTTTAAACAAATTAATATACAGTAGATTCAGTATATTAGTATACTTAAACTAAATTTTTTAAACCGTTTGTCGTACAGTAACAAAAATATGCTTTTTATGATAGCAAATTTGCTTGACCTTTAACGTACACTTAAATAATATTATTAAAAAAAGATTGGTATACACTTACTAACTATGTTGAATTGGTATATCGTACAGTATAAAAGAAAATATTTATTCCGAAAAGTTCCGAATAGAAAAATGAATGAAGGTAAATTACGAGCAAGGTGAGGCTGAAATTTTGAGTAAACATATGAAAAATTCCGAAAAGTCAATTTAAATATAATCTTTTTTATCGTATGGTAGCCTATAATAAATATAGCTTTATTCGAACACTTTAGTAAAAGTATTGAAAGCTTATATTAAACTTCTGTCGTACATTAAATTTATAGCTTTAAGCCAGTGTACACTTCCATAATAAAATTCCTATGTACACTTATATAAGGTTTGAAGACGAAGGTTTATATACAGTCAGACCTCTCTAAATGCACGTCGTCGGGACCAGCTCTAGCATTTAGAGTGGTATTGCATTTAGGGAGGTAAAAATCTATAGATATAATATTAGTTGAGCCAAAAGAAGACGTGCATTTAAAGAGGTGTTGCATTTAGGGGTATAGCATTTAGGGTGTCTGACTGTATATAACATATTGGTATTCAGGGGTCCTTATTTAACATGATAAACTTTTCACTACGATCTTAAATCAGCAAATAATATAAGTTTTTTTTTTTTTTTTTATTGTTGTAAAGATAGGATCAATATCAGTATTTATAAAAGTATCTGGTTATTATCCCATTTTAAACTTGTCCAAACAAAGAACTTGTCAAAAGACCATCAAAAATAAACTTCAACTATATGATAAAAAGCTACTTCCAAGAATGTACAAATACGACGAGAAAATATATAGTTTTATACTAATTTATTTAAAATATTAATTTTCTTAATATTTGTTATTAATATTTATCATCAAAATTTGACTTGTGTGATAAGCTATTTTTCATGATTGTTAGTATTTCTACTGTTCAACTACATACTTGATTATTTATTTTAGTTTAAAATTAATATTATCGATCGAAGGTTCAAAGAAGCTACTGACAATAGTGTTCTTGCAAAAATACACCTTAATGCTTTTCTACTCCTGTTCTAAGAAGTTAGTATCAAGCTTATTAATGTTCATGATAATGTTTATGCAAATTACATTTGTTAATGCTTTTTCCTTTTAATCCAAGATTATTATCCCAAATGTTTAAAGATGTTAGTGTTGTATTCTTGAGAAGTGACTTGGCTAATTCCTTTCCAACTGTTAATCTAAGATTATTGCAACAAAGATCCAAGGAAGTCAGCGTGGCGTTCTTGCAAAGTGCATTTGCTAATGGTTTTGCTCCTTTTGTTCCAAAATTATTCTCATTAAGAATTAAAGAAGTTAACGTGGCATTCTTGCAAAGTGCATCTGCTAGTGCTTTCCCTCCTTCCGATCCGAGTTTATTCCTACCAAGGTTCAAAGAGGTTAGAGTGGTATTCTTGCAAAGTGCATCCGCTATCGCTTTTCCTCCTTCAAATCCAAGATTATTCCTATCAATGTTCAAAGAAGTCAGTGTAGTGTTCTTGCAAAGTGCTTCCGCAAATGCTTTTCCGCCTTCTGGTCCAAGATTATTTTCATAAAGATTCAAAAAAGTCAGTGTGGTGTTCTTGCAAAGTGTATCTGCTAATACTTTTCCTCCTTCTGATCCAAGATCATTCTTATTAAGAATCAAAGAAGTCAACGTGGCATTCTTGCAAAGTGCATCTGCTAGTGCTTTCCCTCCTTCCGATCCAAGTTTATTCCTTCCAAGGTTCAAAGAGGTTAAAGTGGTATTCTTGCAAAGTGCATCTGCTATCGCTTTTCCTCCTTCCAACCTAAGATTATTCCTATCAAGGTTCAAAGAAGTCAGCGTAGTGTTCTTGCAAAGTATATCTGCAAATGCTTTTCCACTTTCTGGTCCAAGATAATTCCAACTAAAATTCAAAGAAGTCAGAGTGGTATTCTTACAAAGTGCATCTGTTAATAATTTTACTCCTTCTAGTCCTTTTGATTCAAAATTATACCAACTAATCTTCAAAGAAGTCAACGTTGTGTTCTTGCAAAGATACTTTCCTAACACCTTCGCGTCTTCAAACCAAATTCGAAGGTCTAATGAATTTAAAGCAGTATTTTTATAAAAGGCTTCTAATAGCATTTTCAATCTTTCAGATTCAATTAGATTATAAAATCTAAAATTCAAAGAAGTTAAAGTTGAAATCTTATAAGGGAACTTTACTAATACATCTATTGTGTTAGTTTTAATGTAGCCTTTAAATTCCATAGAGGTAAGAGTAATGTTCTTATAAAGATTTTCAAATATTATTGGACTGCAAATAATTTCATTAATACTTAAATGTTTAAGATTCTTACTAGTTCTTAAAAGCATCAAAATCAAAGAACATTCTATGGCGGTTTTAAACACATGGTTCCTTTCAATACAATTATATAAATCATAGGTAATAGAAGTTATATAACTTGTATATTCAAATAGTAGCGGTGGTTTTGGTTGACTTGGAAGGGTAATATTAAAAGGAATTAATAAAGCTTGCTCTTCAGCATTTAATGTTAAAAGGAATATTTTCAAAAGTCTTTCGTCTTTAAAATGATGTGCTGGTTCGCTCCATAATATTGGTACAATAATTCTACACCATTGACGGTTTACAAGTGCAAATGAAAATAAATTATTATAATCATTCCGGAAGTTATTAAATATTATATAGTAACATTCAAGCGGTAATTCGATCATTTTGAAAAGATTCAGTACGTACCAGGCACGTACGTACGTACTGTACGTAAGTATATATGTACGTATATGTAGGATTTTGCCTTTATATATAAACAAAATAAATGTTGTGATACGTGTGAAACGTTGCCAAAAATCCAAAATTTGTTGATTGATTATTATAGTGCTAGGTGATTGGTGCTTGAAAAAGGCAAGATTGGATCGGAAGAGTATGTACGTTGTGAGGGGCAGAATCGATCCGGACTCTCCAAATATGGGCCTCACAGATATCAAACTAATCTAAATCAACACTTTAACAACCAAACTCTACCTAAACCCTAATGGCGGAAGGCACGAAAGAAGGCGTGGAAAGACTTGGTCTGAGTTATTAGGGCCAAATAGAGCTATAGACTACGTCACGAAGCTCTTATTCGGGATCACGAAATTATACAATTCACTTATCGGGGGGCCTGAGTTATGAACTCTAAAGTGATCTGCCTTTATTGAAGGCTAGCTCAAGGCTCTTATATATTAAAATTTACAGACTAAAAAGTAAGTGAATTCACTCTCTTACTTTGCTTACTTCGCTTACTTCTCTTACTTCTCTTACTTCGCTCACTTTACTCACTTTTCTAACTACAAAAGGAGATCCCAACCAAAAATAGGAATAAAAGAAAAAAATAGAAATAGAAAATTAAACACAGCCCAAATTCAGGTGGTGCTATGCCAAAAATTATTTGGAGCCATAATTCACCCTTTCACATACTCCCCAACTTAATTTATGAGTCCCACGAATAAATCCTAATTCAACTTCAATATACAGCTACTATGGCATCCTTTCGACACCAATTTTATCTTTCGATGCTAGGCCACCGACTACCTAGGCTGGATTAGATTTTTTAATGTCAGATTTTTTTATTTCGAGTAAGTCTTCTTATCTTGGGTGATTCATTCAATTCCATTTTGATAGCAATATCCAATACTGTATTGGATTCATTCATGGATACGCTTTGACATTTCTCTGGGGCTTCTCTTGAAACTTATCCAGTAGGTAATGCAGACATTTCCTTCCTTCTTTCCGTCCCTTGTTTAACTATCTTCTACTTCTTATATTAGTCTTCTTAGTCCAATGAACTATCAAGTATTAATGTGCCCCGTCCTCGCACATTGCTGTCATGACCACCCTGATCTTTCTTTATCATGTCCATTAATCTAATTTGATTTCTCTATTTCTTAATCAATTTGTGATACTTCTACAAGATTTTGTCATCATGAACTCACTGTATATTCTCTATAATATAATCACCATAATTATTTATTGATGCACTAAAACAATTAAAGAACAAAGGATTTCGTAACCAATTTCGCAGTAATTCTTTATTACTTGAATAAATTCTTGCTCATTTTTGTTGGAATTACAAATTACTTTAAGTGCAATATTGCACCATGTACCATTAATTTTATCGAACCAACGTGCATAGTATATAGTTGCAAATCCTCCCTTTTGCAATTTGAAGATATCTCTGAACTTCTTATAATCAATTCCCGATAATTTAAATCTCTCATCGTCTAGTATTCTCTTAAGTTCAGGATTGATATGATTTGGTGATTCATTAGTCCTCAGAAGGTTTCTATATTTTCCAGTCAAATAATTTGACTTTTGAATATTTCTTTTTGCACTGGTACCATTTCGATATAGTCGAGCATTACTTATTGCTGTTTTATTACACATACCAGCAGTTTTTTGAAAATATGCAGAGACCTTATACTCATTCTCTTCGGGTCCAATTTCATAATAATTTCCAACATCATATTGTTCACTATAATGTCCATTTTCAGTATATTTTTCGTGATTAGTGAATACTTTATTTTCATCTTTTTCGACTTCGATCTTTTTACTATTCATAAGTTTACTTATTCCATCAACAAGAATCTCAACTGATTTTTGTGGATATACTAATACTTTATGTTTATCTTTTAACATGCTTTTATTCGTCTGATGACTTACGTTGGATCTGTATAAGTACGCTACTTTGTCTTTTTCTAAGTGTAGTATACATAGGAATAATAATAGGATGATGCTGAAGTAAAAAATAAAGTAGCTTGAAATTTTAATTTGGTTTTAATTTTTTTTTCCTAGCTTTAGGGCTTTAGCTTGTTGGTAATCCACATCTTTTTTAATTTTTGTATCATTTTGACTAAAATTAAGTATTCTTTCCATTAAACTTTCTCTTGTTGATTTTTGATAACCCGTAAATGCCTGATATTCATTTGATTATACACTAATTTCTAGTAGATGGCTTTTCTTTGTAGGTATAGGATTTGGAGAGGCAACCAAATATTTACTATTTTTTTTAGTATCATTAGTGAATTTGATTTTTTCATCAGCCTCTTTATAATTATCAGGTTCGTCACTTTTATCTAAACTTTTCATTGCTTTCAATTCAGCTTTTGTAAGTTCTTTATGGTTAATCGAACCCAACCATTCTTCAGGAATCTTGTTGTTACAAGGATACCAGGTCTCATTGTCATCATCATTGTTATTAGGCTTAGTATTCATCAGGTACATTTCAGGTTCATTAAGATAACTGTTATTCTGGCCCGAGACTATCTTTTTGTGACAGGGTTCTTCATCCAATTCAGCATGAATAAGTGCCTTATAATTATTTACTTTAATTCCAACTTTATTTCGATTACAACATATAGGATTATTATTGGCAAGTTGATAATCGATTGATTTAAAATCTTCGAAGCTAACTTCGAAAGTTCGGTTAGCACCAACTATCTTTGATGACTTTTGATATGTAGTAGATGCCTTATATTCACCGTTTTCAACTTCAATTCTTTCATTACAGTATATCCAACAGCAAACATATTACCAGTATTACTTATCTTGGCAGGTTCTATATTTTGTTTACCTGGTATTTTTCTCTTTGGCTCATTCTTTTGGGTTCGAACAGGACACAATAGACTATAGTTAAATGTAATTTCATGAGCAGTTGACTTTAAATAAGGAGTGTGGATTTTCTTTATTTTAGTCTCGACTTTATCTAACTTTTCTTCTTCTTATTTACATTATAAACTTCCAGGTTGTTACTGTCAAAACATGCCTCTTTGTATTTGGGCTTTACTGAGTAAACTTAAGAGATAGCCATCCTTCGTTTTGGACCTTTATATGATGGCATGTGTACGATTTCCTTTGCTTTGCTTTCTTTTTTTATTATAACTTCTACTAATTCTAATGTAAGCTTCAGGGCTTCGGGAACTTGATTAGCATTAAGGCCATCATTAAAATGTTCATTTATCATTTCTTGAACTACTTCGAGTTGTTTCATAGTGAGTGTTTGAAGGAGCATCGTACACTCTTCATCTAATTTTCTCACAGCAGGACATATAGATACTTTGTGCCCTTTTAGATTACAATAGGGCACTATGGTCTTTTTTGAAAGACTTCTTGAGATGTTTTACAATTCCAAAGCTTCTCTTGAACTTTTGATGGTTGAGTTTCTTTTGTTAAGTATATATTTTTCTTCAGATATTGGTAAGATTTGGCTTGACTTGCGGCGGATACTTGATTTTGGTGATTATCATTATAGTAAAAATCCATTTCTCGGTACTGGATTGTATAAATTCTTTGCTTCGTGTGTGTTTAGACGTCCAATCTCACAGTTAGGGTTACTGGATTGTTCGGGTCTATTGGTTTGGGTGGTTTGAGAAGTTCAATCTCACAGTTAGGGTTACTGGATTGTTCGGGTCTATTGGTTTGGGTGGTTTGAGAAGTTCAATCTCAGTCACCACCAAATTGTGAGGGGCAGAATCGATCCGGACTCTCCAAATATGGGCCTCACAGATATCAACTAACGCTAAACTAATCTAAAT